CTATATAGAGCTGGGTTGTCAAATGTATCACTGTCTGTACAGGTTAACTTGTTGCCTACAACCATAGGAGTAGAACAAAGTTTTGAATCTAACATCCCAGTCTTAGAAAGCAGGTCTCTAGCATATTTTTCTTGGCTCATGTAGATGTGTGAATCTGTTCTGTGGACTTCAAAACCCAAGAAATACTTAAGAGAACCTAAAGTCTTAAGTAGTGATGGCAATGGGCCGGGCCGGGATTGAGTACCCCTTGGCCTAGGCCCAGGCCCAAGCCCGACCTCATGACATAGGCCCAAGCCCGGCCCGAGCCCGTTACGAGTATGATAGGCAAAGCCCAAGCCTGGCCTAACGGGTTTTTTTATAACCACAGGCCCGACCCAAGCCCGCCTTTTTTAATAATGTTTATTTTTAAATATTAATAAATTTCAAATTTTTTTTATATTTTTAATTTTAGAAATAGTTTTTAAATATTAATTGAAGCTATTTTCGTAAATAATTTAAGCAATAAGTGAGCAATTAAAAGTCCATAATATTTGATTATACTAACTTTTCAGCTGTGCATAATATGTTATGGTGAAATCCACTTTTATAAGTTGAACCAAACCCATCTAACTCATTTAAAGGCAATTTTAACATGTTAAACCTTCAATATGGGATGAAAATTGAGGTTAGGGTTTAGGAAAAATGGATATATATATATGTAGGATAATATTGTAATTAAATATATAGTATAAGGGTAAATTAGTAAAATTAATACTAAAATTTTTGGGGACGGGATGGGTCGGGCCTAAAGATATACCCATGCCCGGCCCGTACCCAAGGTTGGGCCTTAAAATCAAGCCCAGGCCCAAGCCCAAGCCCGCCAACCTTAGGTAAAGCCCGACCCGACCCGACCCGAAAATGTCGGGCCCATTGCCATCTCTAGTCTTAAGAGCAAACTCAATGTTTAACCTCTGGACAATATTCTGTACTAACTCAACATCATTTCCAGTTAACAAAATGTCATCCACATAAACAATTACATATAAGACCTGAGCATTCTGCCTAAAAATAAATAAGCTGGAATCTGCTATAGAAGAGAAAAAACCCCATTTGAGAAAGGCAGTCCTAAGCTTTTCAAACCAGGCTCTTGGAGCCTGTTTTAGGCCATACAATGCTTTAGTTAGTTGACAAACATGAAGTGGATTCTAAGTATCAACAAAACCAGTGGGTTGAGTCATGTAAACTGTCTCACTTAGTTCTCCATTCAAAAATGCATTATTAATGTCCACTTGTTGGATATCCCATCCATAGGTAATAGCTAGACTCAATACTACTCTAATTGTGGAAGATTTGATAACCAGACTAAAGGTTTCAAGGTAATCAACACTAGGGGTCTGCTGAAATCCTTTAGCTACTAATCTAGCTTTGTATCTTTGAATAGAACCATCAAGATTATGTTTAAGTCGAAAGACCCATTTACACCCAACAACATTCATGTTTGACTCAATAGGAACAAGTTTCCAGGTATTATTAGAGAGCAAAGCATTGAACTCACTCTCCATGGCAGCTTTCCAGGAGGGATGAGAGAGTGCTTCAGTAACATTGGTTGGTTTAGTTGTGTCAATAGTGGAAGAGTGATTTGTGGAGGAAACGGTTTAAGAACTATGCTGTTTAGCTTTGCTTCTAGTAATCATGGGATGAGTAGGTAAGGGCTTAGGCTCAAAAGGCAACTCAACTGTAAGGTGAATATAATCATGTAGGTTGGTTGAAGTAGAAGGTTGTGGAGGAGAAGGTAGATCATCAATAGTGAAGAAAAAACAGGTATGTGTGCAAGGGACTGTGAGGTTTGTGTGGGAGATGTAGGTGAGGCAGACTGGACATGTGGCTGTGTAGAAGAGTTTGTAGATGAATTTGAGGTGCATTTAGGAGAGTTTGGTGAGGCAATCTCAGTAGACTGAACAGGCAGTGTGCACGAAGGGTTGGGAGTAGATACACTAGGGTTATGAGCAGGTAAAGTATTACTAGGAGACTTTAATGTTAGTGAGTTTTGCTAATCAATGATGGATAAGTTTGAAGAACCAGTAGAGACATCAGAAGATGAACAAGACAAGTTGGGAAGGGAGAAAAATGGAACAACAGGAGTGTGATCATAAGAGGAGGAAGGAACAGAGGTATTGTCCCTGGAAACAGATTGGGTTAAAGCAAAGAGAAAATGAGACTCATCAAATTTGACACTTTGACAAACACAAATCTTTCCATTTGAATCCATACATTTGTAACGGTTATGATGCATACTGTAACCAACAAAAGTGCATTGTTTGGTGTGAAAATCAAACTTATGAGAGTTATATGGTCTGATAAAAGGGTACACAACACAACAAAAAACTTTAAAAATAGAGTAGTCAGGATTTTTCTTAAACAAAACTTGAAATGAGCAAGAATTAGACAGAACTGGTGTAGGTAATCTGTTGGTGAGACAAGTAGTAGTTTGAAAAGCATGCCACCAATATTTCAAGGGCATGTTAGCTTGAGCTAACAAGGTTAAGCCTTGTTCAACTATTTGTTGATGTTTCCTTTCTACTCTTCCATTTTGCTGGTGAGTGTGGGGGCATGGATGCCTAAAGACAATACCTTGGTTAGCAAAGTAAGGAACTAGACTCTTATATTCACCTCCCCAATCGGTTTGGACACATTTCAAGGGTTTGTTAAATTGTCTTTCAGCTAATTTGTGGAAATGTTGGAAGATTAATTGTGTTTCAGATTTAGCTTTCAATGGAAAAATCCAGGTGAACCTACTATAGTCATTTAGAAACTGTATGTAATAATTAAATCCTTCAGGAGATGGAATAGGGGATGGTCCCCACAAATCTGAATAGACTAATTCTAATGGATCTGAAGCTCTAGACTTAGATTGAGGAAAAACTGATTGGTGAAGCTTACCAAACTGACATGCTGGATAGAATTCAATTGTGTTTTTTATTGAACAGTTAGGTTGTAAAACATGCAAAATTTTAGTAAGAACAGTTACATTAGGGTGTCCTAACCTCTTGTGCCATAGCATGTGATGAGAATGCAAAATGTCATATTTACCCACCTTAATGTCTAGTCTTTTATACTTATTTTCTGCCTAAATGTACTCATTATTATTCTATTTTGATCTAGGATGCAAATGGAGGCGTTAATTGCAAAACGGAACTAATTAAGTGAATTCAGACAGTTTCGACATTGCTTCGTAATCTGGGCATAACTCTCTCATCCGAGCTCCGATTGAGATGATTCAAAATGCTGTGGAACGCTAAGAAAGAGATCTACAACTTTTATGTTTTTAGTTTGGAGAGATACTCACAGAATCAAGGTTGTAATCGAGCTTGAATTTGATGCACCTACACTACTGACTGTCTAAAACATTCTGCCTTCTCATGCAATTCAAATAGGCAGATCATTACAAGAAGTTTAGAAGACATGTTTCACGCAAATTACAGCTGGAAACACCACTTTCCTATTGTCTATTAAGACTTTATTTTATTTTCAATTACTCAGATTAGGATAAAGGTTATTTTAGGATTTTAGAATATTTTTAGGAGATTGAGGAGAATTAAAATTCGAATGGGATATGGAGAGAGGTAGAGCAGATTAGGGATTACACATATCACACACGCCTCTCTCTTCTATCTGCTGGTGGATCTTCGCTTTTCCTTTGAATTTTCGTGATGGCCATGAGTGGCTAATTTTTATAACTTGGTCAAAGGAAACAAGACCTTGGAATCAATAAACTGTGAGATCAATCTGGTTTTTTTTCTTTAAGTGTTCAATTTATGTTTGAGTATTGGATGTTCTTCTATGCATATTTTAATGATTGTTGCGTTTAATTACTAGGAGGCCTACTAGTTTATTATTTGTTGCAATCTACTGCTAAGTTAGATATCAAATCTGTAATTGTTTGATCCCTTTAACTTGTGAAGCAATTAGGGTTTAAGAATTTCTGTTCAGGAATTATTAAGTCTTAAGAAGAACATTCAACTAAATTAAATGCAACCGCTTGAGTTTGTGTTGTTTAGCTTCATCGATCTCTCTAGGTCTTAAGGCTGCCACTAAATTAAATCTTTAGCGCTTGTCTAGGGTTGTTTAGTATTAAGGTTAATTAGATCGCTTGTTTCTTAATTAATTACAACTAAGGAGAGATAGGAAAATAGTTCCAAAGATGAATATTCAGGGTATGAATTGATTTATTTTTATATCGATGATCAGTTATAAGATTCTGATGGTGGATGTTGACCTAGACTAAGTTTCGTTATTTGATTGATTTCGATATTTTAATTTGAATTGTTTTTCCTGAAATTATATTTGTTTTACTCAAAACCCCCCAGCCTTGTTCACGTAACATTAAACTCGGCTAGACACTCTTTGTGGGAACGATCCCTACTCACACTTCTACGTGTATTTTTTAGGGTTTTAATTCATGCTATTAGTTTTTTCTACTGGAAAAGATTGAATTATGCTTTTTTCATTAGCATTAGTAGCATTATTACAATTGGATACAAATGTAGGAAACTTGGAAATATCAGAACTAGACATATAATTTGCAACAACAGAATCAGACAAGGCATTAGTAATATCAAGTGCTTTAGGAGCATACAATGTACTAGTATTATTAGGACATGATTTAGAAGACTGTGAAGCTTTAGATTGAGTGAATTGTAGTGAGTTAGAGACCTGAGCAGATGAATGACCAACAGGCAGATTGGACTGTGGATAAGTGATAACAAGTGTTTGAAGTTGATAAAGGCCATCTTTAACTTTCCTTGAAGAAGAACAACTTTGGAGTGTTTGTCCTTAACCACACAATGATCAGCAAAGAACTCAACAATTACACTATTTTCTCTAGTAAACTTAGAAATGCTTAATAAATTTTTTGTAATGTGGGGTACACAAAGGACATTTTTTAGGTATAGTGATCTAGAATGACATGGAAAAGAAATAAAACCAGTGTAAGAAATGGGAAGCAACTCACCATTGCCAACCTAAAGCTGCTCATTGCCATTGTAGCTGGAGTTCACTGTTAGCTGGGACAGATCTGAAGTGACATGATCTATGGCTCCACTGTCCATGTACCAGGATGCATCCTGAATAGTTGATGGTGAAGTAGTATAATGAGCTAAAGGATTAGAACCATTTTGGAACTGTGTTTGTGATAAGAATGCTTGATTGTAAAAACTGGAGGCAGACGATTGAGAACCAGGGTACACTTGAGGTGGTCCTGAATTTGAGTGTGGTGCAGTTGAGAAACTGGCAAAAGTAGATTGTTGTGGACCAGTGATATTGGTGTATGAAGATGGTGGAAAACCAGGTTGTGCATTTTATTCACTCATATTGGGACTAAAACTGGAATTATGAGGAACCTGAGGTGAGTAGTAACCATAGAATTGTGACTGCTGAAAGGGTGGCCTGGGATAATTCTGAACAAAACTCCCTCTGCCTAAGACATTGTTTTCTCCAGTAAAATTGGTGTCAAACCTGTGATAGCAATTTAGTGCAAGATGTCCAGTCTTGCCACAGACTTGGCATATCAATCTATTCCTTCCAGCTCCTATGCCTCTTCCTCTACCACCACTAAATTGAGAGACATAATATTGATTATTTGAAGCTACAAAGTGATTAGGATCAGGGATAGGCTGTTGAGAGACGTGATTGTGAGGTACGAAATTAGGACCTTGATATTGAGTTTGTCCAAGGTTAGGCTGTACATTACTGATTTGTGACTGAGATTCATTGTGATACTTTCTTTCAGTTGTAGCAAGATGAGCTGAGCCTCCATGAAACTCAGTGCTAACTATTGGATTCATAGCAAAATTTGCTTTTTCTAACCTAAGTTCATACTTTTGCAGGATAATTTGTGCCTCTTGGACAGTGAGGGGATCTATTCTAGATTCTAATCTAGTAGTAATGTTCACCACAACAGCATCGTATTCAGTATTCAGACCATCCAGTATGTAATTCAGTAACTCTTCATCAGTGACCACTATTCCACTATTTGACAGAATCTTTGCAAATCCTTTCATTTTGACAAAGTATTCATGAATGTTAAGATTATCTTTCTTTGTATTTTGCAACAAATTTTTTACATGCAACGTTTTAGTTCTTGACTCAATAAGAAATTCTTTTTCTAATGTAACCCACATATTGGCAGAGAACTGACACTTTGAGACAACTATGAACATGGATTCAGAGATAGAGCTAAGAAGCCAGCTTACTAGGAGTTTTTCAGTCTTCTTCCACTGACTATATTATGGGTTTGGCTTCTTCTCAGTAACACCATCAGAGCTATCTGCTGGAATCTTGACGAACTGAGCTGGACACGATACTAGCCCGGTGAGATGTTCCTCTAGATCAAGAGATCCGACAGCAAATAAGATCTGTGACTTCCACAAGTAGTAATTATTCCTAGTCAACTTAAGGGAAATGATAGGAAGAGTTAATGAAGACATTGAGGTGGGGCTTGACAAATTGACTAGATCGATGTTTGATTTGTGAGCTGAACTTGTTGGATTAGAAGAGAGTTGAGTGAGATCGACCATTTTTACATGAGTCAGCAGCTCTGATACCATGTTAGGTTTAGAGCAAAAAACAGAGAAGAAAAACGATAAAGAAAAAGTAAAGGAGAGTAAACTGCTTTGTATTTTGTATAAGTTTCTCTAAAGAATATGGTTTACAATGTGGCTTTTATATGCTACAGTCAGCTTAGTAAAACAGCTGAAATGTAACTGCATTTACCAATAGTAACAACCTCTTAACAAACTAAACTACAGTAACAACCTCTTAACAAACTAAACAGGGCAGTTTAATAACTAGGGGTGTTCAAAAGAACCGGCGGGTACCCTGGGTTTGGTTCCAGTTCCTACCCAGAACCAATAGTCAATGGGTAGGTTCTGGTTCCAAATTGTTGGAACCGTTACTGTGGAACCAGGAACCGAGACTAATATAAAATTAAATTAAATATTAAGGGAGTTAATAAAAACTTTTGTAGAGAAAGTAGCGTGAATACATTTATATTTATATTTCATAACATTTAAAGTAAGTTGGTTTGACTTTTGAGAATCTACCTTTACAGTTTGTAATTTTGAATTTTGAATTTGTAATTTTATTTTTGTTAACAAGTGCTGGGGGGGGGGGGGGGGGGGGGGGGGGGGGGGGGGGGGGGGGGGGGGGGGGGGGTTGGGGGGGGGGGGGGGGGGGGGGGGGGGGGGGGGGGGGGGGGGGGGGGGAGAGATGGGTATTTGTAAGTTTTTAAGGGATTTTTTACCATTTTAAAAACTATTGGGGGGTCATTTTAATTTTACAGGGTACCCAGAACTGAAACTGGAACCGTTGTTACAGGTTCTGGTTCTGGGTACTTAGGAACCAAAACCGTCGGTTCCGGTTCTGGTTCAAATTTCAAGGAACCGTTGGTTCTGGTTCCTTCAAAAAGTGCAGGGTACCCGGAACCGAACACCCCTATTAATAACTGTTGTAAACAAACGTAACAACTTAACAGATTCTTAACTTCCTAACTGATAGTCATAAAGGTTTAAAGTAAAATCTAAATATTTATTGAATATCTTAAAGAACAAATAATATGTTTATATAAGGTGGTGACAACCAACCCTAACAAGATTTCCAATAAACAAGGAAATAAAATCCAAATTAATTAAAAAAAAAAAAAAGGAAATCCTAAATAAAATAGGAAAAAAACATGTAGAAAACTTAAACGGCCTTGAAACGTCGAAACATTAGATTTTGGGCCCAAAAAGACCCCCAACCAAGGTACCCGATTACCACGTCATCGGGCTCGAAATGAGCTTTCCGTTAATATATTATGGGCCCCGTAACTCCTCTCGGATCAAAAGTTTTATTTGTTTTAATTTGACATGCCCATTTAAGATTTGGTACTTTTTGGACTGTGCATTGGGTTTTCGATGCTCAACCCTCTTTAGGAATTCATCTACTAGACGTTCTACATCATGTCCAATGAACAAGGGATGTTGAAATTCATTTCATTGATCTTCTTAATAATATTTCATCTCGCCATATCTTGATGCAATTAAGGTCTCTTAGGATTGTGAGGTTTGGGATTTTAAACGTTGTTAATTATAAGGTCAATAATGCTATGGACACCGATAATTTGTACCGAATTTTTGTACCGATGTATGTGGCATCCAGTCAAACACAACCATGTTGGAGACAAAACACGTTTTTCGTGAATGAACCGCCGTCCAATAATTATGGATGCCCATCCATATTGATGGACGACCGTTCATCATGAATGGATGAGCGTCCATGAAAAATAACAATGGACTCCCGTCCATATTATATGGACGAGAGTCCATTCACTATGGAGAGGTGTCCACCTCATATGTACGCCCATCCATAAAATTTTAAAAATAAAATAATGGATGCTCGTCCATCTTATAGGATGGACGTCCTTCTAAAATGGAGGAAATAGCCTGATAAATGGAGGCTTTTATAAATGGGAAATAATGTAGCCATAGAGAAAGTTAAATCATATGCTTCCAGATTCTCCTTCCAGTGGTTAATGTAGTTAATATCACATGTCTATGATTGTAGTTTAATTACATATAGTAATTTGGCTTAATTTTAGCCATAAATTCCAAATAGTTAGTGTAGAAATCTAGGGTTAATAGTGTGTCTTAATCTAAATCTCAAATGGGTTTAATTTGATAAACAATCAAATATAAAATTGTGAGTCAATCAACCAACACATCCAGGATAAACAAATCAACAAAAATAGAGCAATCAAGAGTAAAGACACTGTAATTTATAGTAGTTCAGTTGTAAAGCCTACATCCACTCTTCAAGGCTCACTTTAGGGTATTATTACTCATGAATTTTAAAGGTACAAAGAAGAATTGAAAAGAAAAGTACAAGGAAGGAACATAACCGAGAATAGCAATCCCTAACTCTCTCTATGAAAGGCTCTGCCCTTCCTTCAATAGCCAACCTGATTTGATACACCTACAAACCTCTCAGATCAATGTCCACTTGGATTGAAGCATTCCACAACCATGAGATGAAGAAATAGCCTAGAAGCTTCTCCATGTTCACGCTTCTAATGAGGTATAGAGAGAAAAATTTGTTGCTGGAGAAGTGGATCACTTGACACGATATGTCAAGTGATCCCAAAGGCAAAATGGTGTCGCATAACTCAAGCTTGACTCTTCTTTAAAAAGTTTGACTCTAGCGTGACAATTCATAAGCCACATCATCACAATTCTCCACCTTGGCTTTTGAATTAACACCCTAAGTGACCTTGGAACCATATTAATTATTCTTGGACTTGAAGGAGGCTCATACAGAGCCTATGTTTGTTTGCAGTCACTGGTTTAGTAAACATGTTTGCTGGATTATGTGAGCCCTTCGCCTCTTCAATCCTTATTTCTCCTTTCTCAATCATCTCCCTAATGAAATGAAGTCGTACATCGATGTGCTTGGTTCTTTCGTGGAAGACTTGATTTTTAGATAGGTGAATGGTACTCTAACTATCACTATTAATCACAACAACTTCCTGTTCTAGCACCAGCTCATTTACAAACCCCTTCAACCATTTAGCCTCTTTTGCTGCTTTTGTCAATGCCACATATTCAGATTCAGTTGAAGAAAGTGTGACCATATGTTGGAATTTTGACTTCCAATTAACCATATTCTCCCATAATGTAAACACAAAACCAAATGTTGATTTTCTCCTGTCAAAGTCTCCTGCATAATCTGCATCTACAAAACCTTCAATGCAACCATCTTTCCTTTTGTTCTTTATAAGCCCAAGACTTCCCTAATACTCTTTCGATGTGGGATTTGTTACAATAGACAACCAAATTAGCATACCCTAACCTGTTAAGGGGTCTAATAACTCTCTTGACCCTATCCCTTGATAGTTGGTAGTTTGTCAAGTTTGGCTCACCATTCTCTTGATTTACTTGTTCAACCTCTTGCTCACCTGTATGATCTCCCTCAAGATTTTCAGAATTTTCTTCATCATCTTGAATCTCATCAGCTCCACCTTGATTCAGAGTTTGGTCAGGAATTGCATTTTGAACTTTGAGCTCTAAATGATCTAATCCCAAGGAATTCTCTTCTGTTTTTCTAGATTCATCCAACCTAGGTAAAATGTCTTCTCTAAACATCACATCCTTGCCTATAATGCATTTCTTAGTCTATAAATTCTAGAATTTATGGCCTTTAACCCCATCTAGATATCATAGGAACAAGCACTTAATAACTCTAGGTTTCAGCTTATCTTCTCTAACATGAATATAGGATAGGCACCCAAAAACTCTCAAATTTTCCAAATTCACAAGATGACCAATCCACTTTTCTAGAGGGACTCTAAAACCTATTGCAGAGGATGGTGTTCTCTTTATGAGATAGACAACATTGTGTCAGCTTCTGCCCAAAACTTGATTGGCAATTTAGAATTAGACAAGATACTTCTAACCTTTTCTAAAATTGTTGCATTCATTCTCTCACAAAGGCCATTTGACTGTGGGGTATTCCTGACTGTTTTGTGTCTGAAAATCCCATGAGTTTTGCAAAAATTGTTAAATTCTTCGTTTACAATTTCAAGACCATTATCAATCCTAAGTTTCTTTAGTTTCTTTCCTGTTTGGGTTTCAACCATGGTTTTTCATTCCTTAAATCTAAGGAATGCTTCATCCTTAGTTTTGAGAAAATACATCCACACATGTCTAGAAAAGTCATCTACAAAACTAATGAAATACCTGCACCCCCCAAGAGAATAATGTCTAGATGGCCCCCAAACATCTGACTGACCATACTCAAGTGAACTTGAGTAATATTGACCAATTTTGAATTTAACTCTACTGATCTTCCCAAACACTCAATGTTCACAGAAAATCAGATTCCCAATTTTATCCCCACACAATAAATTTTGTTTACTTAGTTCTCCTAAACCCTTCTCACTAACATGTGCAAGCCTTTGATGCCACAATGAGGTTTTATCTTGAACCTCTGTTGACCTTACAGCAGCCACTCCATAATTTGTTTTACC